TAATGTTTTATGGATTCTCGTCCATGAAATGCGCCACTTCCGGTATTTTGCCAGTTAGTTGACGCAGGCAAAATGAAGTCGAGGATTTTTTTTAAATCGAATAGTCGAATAGAACCGACGAATCGCGGCAGCCCTAATATTTGTACATTTGGCTTTTTCGCCAAGAATGAAAAAGTTTTTTGGTTGGGCTACAAAAGATAAACTGGGTTTATTTTGGGGTAATAGTGGTCTCTGATGGTTTGGAATTTGGGGCATTCTGTGAGGAAGTGCAGCTCTGTTTGGATCTCTCCCAGACTGCAGTGGGAGCAGAGTCTCTCCTCACGGGAGAGCCAGGTTTGTCTGCACCGGCCTCTCTCTACAGACAGACTGTGCTCGCTGAGTGTGTGTGTGTGTGTGTGTGAGACAGACTGTGCTCGCTGAGTGTGTGTGTCAGACTGTGCTCGCTACACCAACCCTACCCCTAAACCTACCCCTCACAGGAAACTTTGTGCTATTTCAGATTTTCAATACACTCCATTCTTTGTGATTTATAAGCATTTTGAAAAGTGGGGACATGGAGTAATGTCCTGAAAAGTCACCTTCTCCTTGTAATACCTATGTCATACCTTTGTCATTGTACAAATTTATGTCCTCATTTGTCACAAAAACGCGCGCACACACACACACACACACACACACACAGTGCTCGCTGAGTGTGTGTGTGTGTGTGTGTGAGTGTGAGACAGACTGTTCTCGCTGAGTGTGTGTGTGTGTCTGAGACAGACTGTGCTCGCTGAGTGAGTGTGTGTGTGTGCAGGGCCATTTCTAGACAATTTGACGCCCTAGGCGAAATCCCTATTGCCCCCCCCCACCCCAAATTATACATATATAAAATTCTTTTCAGACACCAGTTGCTTGTCACATTCTAATTGGTTGTCATAGTAACGACACTAATTTGTGGAGATTCAGTGCATTGAGTTCCACAAATCTGAATGCATTATTTGTAAATTGACTGTTAAGATTAACATTTTGCACAATTTAGTATCTGTAATATCATTGTGTTGCCACTAGATGCCTGTATAGCCCTATGTAACAATCCCTAGTGGCTAAGACATTGCACATAATTTACACATAAATCACACATAAATTAATTTGATTACATTTTGATTTGGATACTATATACTATACTACTACATATTGTTTAGATATTATCAATGGCTTGTGTGTGTGTGTGTGTGTGTGTGTGTGTGAGTGTGAGACAGACTGTGCTCGCTGAGTGAGTGTGTGTGTGTGTCATTGAGATGAACTGAAGAATAGCACAGATCGCTTGGCGATCTCTGAAAGTCTGAAGCGCTCAGGCAGAGTGTTCGGCGAGTGAATATATATCTGTGCTCAACTTATACTTAGCCTCCAACTCACACACTGGCGAGTAAAATATGAGAATTGATTAGCCATTGATTAATATTAGACATCATTTAGTCACCCAGAGTAAAGGTTTAGTCGCATATACGAGCGATTTACT